CTCTCTGACGACCCTAACTTGTATCATGTTGACATAAAACTCTCCAGTAGACACAGAGGCGGAGCGGCGGCGGCGCCAGACGCACAGAGGCGGAGCGGCGGCGGCGCCAGACGCACAGAGGCGGAGCGGCGGCGGCGCCAGATGCGGCGGAGCAACAACGCATACAGGAAGAAGCTTTCGGGGACCGGCACAGCGGCAGACCCAAGCGGCGGGGACAGGCGTGCAATAAGGAGAGCAGATCGCCCTACTACAATTGAATCAAAGAGGAAATTCGGGATCAACCTACCCCTGGACCCAGCAATACCACTCTTGGGAATATACCCAAGAGATGCCCTATCATACAACAAAAGTATATGCTCAACTATGTTCATGGCAGCATTGTTTGTAATAGCCAGAACCTGGAAACAACCTAGATGCCCTTCAACGGAAGAATGGATGAAGAAAGTATGGAATATATACATATTAGAGTATTACTCAGCAGTAAAAAACAAGGACTTCTTGAATTTTGCATACAAATGGATGGAAATAGAAAACACTATCCTGAGTGAGGTAAGCCAGACCCAAAAAGAGGAACATGGGATGTACTCACTCATATTTGGTTTCTAGCCATAAATAAAGGACATTGAGCCTATAATTCATGTCCCTAGAGAAGCTAAATAAGGTGAATCCAAAGACAAACACATAGGCATCCTCATGAATATTAACCTTCATCAGGCGATGAAAGGAGACAGAGACAGAGACCCACACGGGAGCACCGGACAGAAATCTCAAGGTCCAAATCAGGAGCAGAAGGAGACGGAGCACGAGCAAGGAACTCAGGACCACGAGGGGTGCACCCACACACTAAGACAATGGGGATGTTCTATTGGGATCTCACCAAGGCCAGCTGGCCTAGGTCTGAAAAAGCATGGGATAAATCCGGACTAGCTGAACATAGCGGACAATGAGGAATACTGAGAATTCAAGAACAATTGCAGTGGGTTTTTGATCCTACTGCACGTACTGGCTTTGTGGGAGCCTAGGCAGTTTGAATGCTCACCTTACGAGACCTGGATAGAGGTGGGCAGTCCTTGGGCTTCCCACAGGTCAGGGAACCCTGATTGTTCTTCGAGCAGATGGGGGGGGGGGGACTTGATCGGGGGAGGGGGAGGGAAATGGGAAGCGGTTGTGGGGACGAGGCAGAAATCCTTAATAAATAAATAAATTTAAAAAATAAAAAAAAAAGACTGGAGAGGGAGGGGGAGGGGGGGAAAGGAAGGTAAATAGGAGGAAGGGAGGAGGTGAAAATTTTTATTAATAATAATAATAATAAAATAAAAATAAATAAATTGCTTATCTTACTAGTAAAAAAAAAAACTCTCCAGTACACCACCTAACACAGTTATCCCAGGGATAAGCTGTTTTTTTTTAAATCTACTAATTTATTATGTATACAGTATTCTTCATATTCTGTCTGCATGTATGCCTGCAGGCCAGAAGAGGGCACCAGATCTCATTACAGATGGTTGTGAGCCACCACGTGGTTGCTGGGAACTTAACTCAGGACCTTTGGAAGGGCATGCAGTGCTCTTTATCACTGAGCCATCTCTCCAGCCCAATAAAGCTGAATTTTGTTTGTTTGTTTTTGTTTTTATTTTTGGGACAGGGTTTCTCTATAGTTTTGGTGCCTGTTTTGGAACTAGCTCTTGTAGACCAGTCTGGCCTCAAACTCATGGAGATCCACCTGCCTCTGCCTCCCTAGTACTCTGATTAAAGGTGTGGGCCACCACCGCCTGGCCCGATAAGCTGTTTTTGCTACCACACCAAACCATTCTCTTTTACATTAGGGAGCAGTGGGCACCTGAGGTGTGGTCAGCCACTAGATTTAACAGTGAGGGGGGCATGTCTGAGCATGGTCTTAATTCCACTCTCCCTAAATTGAGGTCTCAGAGGACCACCCAGGGATCAGAGGACTGAACTGAGGTAGGAGACGTATAGAGGGCTATCACGCTAACTGGGTGGGTAAGAGCTACAGAGTGGGCTGTGAGCTAAGGGGATGGGAACAGGCATAAGAGACACTGAAGGAGATGAGGACTCACAACTGCATGGTCCCCTGAGTGAGCATTTTGCTCAGATCTGTGTTAACAGGAAGGAATTCCTGCTGTGGGTGAAGGCCTATTCTGAGGAGTGAGGTAAACCGGAAGTGCATGACTCTGGCCTGGAAGGTGAGGGTAGGAAGAATATTATGAACAGAGAAACATAGGTTCTGTTGATACAGGGGTCAGTTTTGTTTTTTTTGTTGTTGTTGTTGTTTTTTTTTTTTTTTTTTGATTTTTCGAGATAGGGTTTCTCCGTAGCTTTTGGTTCCTGTCCTGGAACTAGCTCTTCTAGACCAGGCTGGCCTCGAACTCACAGAGATCCGCCTGCCTCTGCCTCCCGAGTGCTGGGATTAAAGGCGTGCGCCACCACCACCCGGCTTATACAGGGGTCAGTGAGTTAGGTCAGAGATCAGCAGTCGCCCACCCCTCCCCCCTCCAACCCGCAGGAGGTCGCTAAGGCTTGGTATTTAGCCAGTCTGGCCTCTCTTACCCTGTAACCCCAGTTTGATTCTGTAACCTCCAGAGGCACACAAATGGTACAAACTGCCCCCTCCCTGTGTGGGTGTGTGCATGTGTGTGAGAGAGTGCTTTCATTTGGTTACAGTTTGGTGGGTTTGTGGGAGGGATATTTTCTTTGCTTGGGTTTTAGAGTTTTGTTGTATTGGGTTTTGTTTTTTGAAACAGAGACACGGTTTCTCTGTAGCCTTGGAGCCCTCCTGAAACTCACTCTGTAGGCCAGGCTGATGTCAAACTCAGATCTGCCTCTCTGCCTCCTGAGTGCTGGGATTAAACATGTGTGCCATCACCATACCCTGGTGCTTCTGTTTTTTGAGAAAGAATTTAAAGTTGGATGGGTGGAGGGAAGAAGATCTGGAAAGACTTGTGGGAGAGGAAGAATATGATTTAAAGTTTTTGAAGTTAAAAAACTGGGGGGAGAAACCCTGTCTCAAAAAAACAAAAAAATAAAAAAATAAACAATAAATAAATGGGGGGAATGGACAGAAAAAAAATCTATCACCTCAGACTGCATACCAACCTTCAAGACTGCCTGAAGCTGGGTTGGTTGTGTTCTCATTGAGTCCCTGTAGAGATGGGAACCAGCTTAGCAGAACAGACTCCAGCAGGTCAGGCAGCAGCCTCCAGGCTGGCACTCCACACTTTTCCACTGGCTCCTCTGAGGCCTTTTGTTTTTCCTGCAAACTCTCCCGCCTCTACTTCCCAAGTACAGGAATCTGAGGAGTGCCTTGTCCCTCGCCCAGCCTTCACAGAAGCTTGAAGGACCTTTGGAATCCTACTTGCACTGGGCTGTGGTTTGCACATTCCTTTAATACCAGCACTGAGACAGCAAAGAAACAATTTCCTGAGTTCCAGGTCAACTTGAGATAAAGAGACCATTGTTATAAGTATTTTTTAATATTTAGTGTTGGGAATATGTATGCATGACACAGCACTTGTCTTGGCCAGTGTATTTATCTCAGCACTTTCAGGAGAAGCCTCTAGATTACACGTTAGGATTGGTAGTGGGAGGAGGGACTATAAGTAGCTGAGAGCTGGAGAGATGGCTCAGTGGATAAGAGCACACTGGTTGCTCTTCCAGAGGCAGAATGTTACATACACGACATGATCTTAACTTCTAAGCCATCTCTCCAGTTCTCCACATATATGTATATATACATATATATGTATATATACATATACATATACATATATGTTTTTGAGACAATTTCTTTTTTTTTGTTTTTTTTTTTGTTTGTTTTGTTTTTTTTTTGAGACAGGGTTTCTCTGTGGCTTTGGAGCCTGTCCTGGAACTCGCTCTGTAGACCAGGCTGGTCTCGAACTCACAGAGATCCGCCTGCCTCTGCCTCCCGAGTGCTGGGATTAAAGGCGTGCGCCACCAGAGACAATTTCTTTATGCAGTCCTGGATATCCTGGAACTGGCTCTTAGATGAGGCTGGCTTCAAACCCTGATTTACCAGTCTCTCCGACTGCAAGGATTATAGGCCTGCACCACTACCTTCCGGGCCTCCCTTATATATTAACACATATAGAAATGAAAACAAGAGGGCATGAAACAAAAATCTTTATTGCTACAATATACAAATACAGGGGGAGTGCAATGGGTAGACTTAGGCACTCATTAACAAAACAGGTTTACTCCAGACATCTACAATACAGTTCTTAAGGTCTATCAATCCTTCAAAACAAGACAGGGACATTTGTCCATATACTGGAGACCTTTATGTTTAGGGACAGCCAGAGGGATAGAAGCATCAAATAGTGCCCCACAGACATGCGATTTACCATGGTGACATACTTCAGAAATCTCTGCGTGTAGGTTAAGGCAGGAAGATTTCAAGGCCAGCCTGCGCAATATACCACTATGAAAGAGACGGAGAGGGAGCAAGCTCTGTGGCTTATCTGTGACCTCCCAGTACAAATGGACTAGATAGAATGCCTCGACCATTCCATTCCCCAAACCTCATAGGAGTGCAGTGCTCGTTTTAGGCTGGAAACTTTGTACACAGAGGTACTAAGCAGACACACAGTGGGACATAACCGACACCCAGGCAGAAGACAAGCTCTCCTGCCTTTACTTTCATTAATCAGGATTCTCTCAAGGTTAAAGGAACAGAACTGATAGAACTATATATAGTAGAAATAGATGAACTTTAGTAGACCAAGGATGTAGGAGTCGTCCATCCACAAGGGTGGAAGTCTCTTACAGTTCCCTTCTTCCATATCTTTTTATATATGCTGCCAAGAGAAGGCATGGTTTCAACACAGGATGGGTGTGTTTCCTCAAATAATGTGATGAAGAATCTCACCTCACAGGAATGCTCAGCAGCATGGGTTCTAGTTGATTACAGGCATAGCCATGTTGACAAACCAGGTTAGCCATCAGAGACGTCTAGAGATCTTGGACAAGGGGTCAGAGAACACAGGGTCTTTCGAGCTCAAGAATCAAAAGAAAACCATGGCACTGAATCCAGGTTAATGGCATGGAAGGACACCAGAACACCCAGTCAAAAAAATCAGACCCTTCCTCTAAACCGCCATGTAGGAGAAAGTCACTTACGATCATGTCCTGGCAAAACCCTTTTAGAAAATGCAAAACTGGGGCTAGAGAGACAGCTCTGCAGCTCAGAGTGCCTGTTCCTACAGAGGACCCAGGTTAGATTCCCAGCCCCACACGGTAGTTCACAGCCACCTGTAACTCCAATTCCAGGAAATCCAATCCTTCATCTGACCTCCACAAGCACCAAGCATGCATATGTGCAAGGAAATCACTCACACCCTTGATGAAATACCTATTGCTAGGTTTTCAATTCTCAGTATCAAGAAGCAACCTTCCCCACTTACTGCCAACAATGACAAAGTCTGGCCTCCAGGTCATAGATACAGCGCTGACAACATTTGTGACACATGTGTGTAGCAAAGGAGACTCTCTTGGGCTGCCTGACAGTAATCAGTGTATCCATGAGCTCAGGACAAAGTTTAGCAAATCTTCCCACATGGACATCACCCCTGTCATCATAGCATTCTAGAGGGGCGGGGTACAGCTCTTGGATCAGCTGGTTGAGGTTGGCTGTGTGATATAGAAGGTCTTTCAGGACAGCCATGGAGATATCATTGTCATAGAAATTGACCCTAGTGAGTTGGGAGCACTGGCTCAGGGCAGGCAGGAGGGTAATGAGCTGAGAGTCCACCATCCAGCAGCCCTCCAACTCTAGGGTCTGCAGAGTGCCCGCAACACTGTTTAGGAGATCACGGAAAGGTGTAGGATATAGGTCAATTAATTTCACAAGCCTCAGATTCAGGTGTTTCAGCTGATGGAGACTCTGACTCTGGGACAAGGAATTCAAGTCTAACTGTGAAAGCTTGCACACAGTGATGGATAGGGTCTCCAAAGGGGTCTTCAGGTACCTAGGGAGAGACCAAGATATTAGTTCTGGCACAATGAGATGGAGAGAGCTGCTGTTAGATGTAGCATAGAGGTAAAGGTGACCACTTGTTTAGAAGTCCTGCAACTATATAATGGAGATCAATATCCAGGATCGAGGATGCTGCTTATTGGGGAGTCTCACTATTCTTGGCAGAGAGAGAGGCATGAAGTACCAGTAATGGGACTTCTTTAGTCCATGGGTAGCAGCTTCCATTACTATGAAGAAGAGAACCTGTGCTGGCCACATTAGCCCAGGGCGCACACTGGAAAAACTAACCCATGAAAGATCTGGAAGTCTTGAATCATCTTTTGCCTCCCCTGGAACAGTCTCTGCCCTTATTCGGTTTCTCTTTTTTTTCTTTTTTTTTTTTTAAGATTTATTTATTTATTTATTATGTATACAATATTCTGTGTGTATCCCTACAGGCCAGAAGAGGGCACCAGACCCCATTACAGATGGTTGTGAGCCACCATGTGGTTGCTGGGAATTGAACTCAGGACCTCTGGAAGAGCAGTCAGGGCTCTTAACCTCTGAGCCATCTCTCCAGCCCCCTTATTCAGTTTTTCATCCCTGCCTCTCACCCACACAATTGGTATCACTCATTTCTACCCATCTCTATTCAGACCCTACATGTGGGAAGTTAGAAGGCACACAAATGCCAAGCACCAAGTTCCCCCGTGGATCTGTGGAGGTAAGGATCCTCTCTAGTTCTGGGCCCACTGTTCTGACCGATTCCCTGCCCCTTAGACAGAATCCCAAGGAAGAACACAGAGCACATACTTCCTACATCTGATGCCCTCCCCAGTTGGTCTTGTAGCAGGACTGCTCAACCCATCTCCTACTTGGCTCAGGGAAGAACACAGAGTGCATCCTTCCTACTCTGATGCCCTCCCTAGCTGGTCTTGTAGCAGGACTGCTCAACACATCGCCTACTCGGCTCAGCCTCTGCTTAGTGAGTGGCCACTGAACAAACTGAGCTCCCAAATCAGTTAAGATAGAAACAAAACCCAACTTAGACGCTGCAGTGACTCCATGATTGTGAACTCCAGTGGCTGGCTGGCTTCACTCAGGTACCCACTACTCTCTTTGCCACCCCACCTTACCTGAACAACTGTTTCATGTGCTCACTGGAAAAGTAGACGCCATTCATGGAGAGATGCTGCAGACAGTTGAGTTTAGAGAACTGAGAAACAAACTTAGTGATACACTTCTGTATGTCTGAGGGGGTATTTAGAACCTTAAAGGTGTTCTTGTGGATCCGTGTTAAAAGGAGTTTTTGAAGATTTCTCATCTGGTCCAGGTAAGATACAAAATGCACCAGAGTGGACAGACTCCAACCTGTATTCAGTTCCAACTCCTGGATGCTGTCAGGCTGGAAAACCATCAGGACTTTCCTGACAGTGTACACGGGCAATGCCCATATCTGCATCTTCACACAGCACAGCCTGATGAAACTTCTTCTCTGCTGGGCCCACTGTAACAAGTATGTTTGCTGTTCATTCAGATGGAACCTGAGGCAAAGGTCTGCGACCACCTTCAAACGCTGCCTCAGGGCGTATCTAGGAGAGCGCTTCACCGCTTGCTTCTTACCCACAGCCTCTGCAGAGCACTCTCCATCCTCTGTGCCAGCCCAAACATCCCAGAAGTTGTGCTGCACATTCCTCAAGTCGAGCACCTGGAGCTTCCCCCTCCTGTGAGTAAGACAGGCAGAAACAGTGGAAGATATAAAAGACCAAACCCAGCCCGGCGGTGGCGGTGCACATCTTTAATCCCAGCATTCCTGAGGCAGAAGCAGGAAGATCTCTGTGAGTTTGAGGCCAGTCTGGTCTACAGAGGCAGCCAGGGCAGTCAGAGAAACCCTGTCTCGAAAACAGCAACAAACAAACAAACAAAGACCACACCCAGGCCAGGTTTTCCTCTCCATCTCTACTGCCACCTGTTCCCAGCTGTTCCGTGTGTTTATGATTCTCCGTCCTGGGTCTCCCAGAGCAGCTCCTGGCAAGGGCTCTTTACCAGAACTGCATATAAAGACCTACCTGTCCAGCTTCCTCCCTGCAGTGACTCTTGACTCAGTCTTCCACTTCTAGAACCTGGGAGAGCCAGGGTAAGGCTTGTTTCACTGTGGCCACAACTGCTTTAAGCTGGACTCCATACCCAACTGTCCTTTTATACTAGGGCTCAACAGGGGTCAAGGCTTCTGCAATCTTCCAAGATAATTTAGATAATACCATCAAAATCCTCTCGTCTACCTTTGACCTCATTCTCCCTTACCCCAGATGTCCTTCCCCTGTACCATGCCCACCATTCTTCCCTACCTGGATCTTGCTTACCTGGGGAGCACCTTCTGTGTTCGCAGCATGTCTACTCCATCCAGGACTGCCTGCAAGGTCTCCAGGTGGGAAGTCTTCATGAGGGTCCCCACGGGAAGGAAGCTGAACGGCCAAACTGCTACCATAGCCCTCAGAATGTTACTTTGTCCGTGGTTGAAGGCTTCCTTGAACAGTGGTGGGAACAGCACCCTGGGCAGGAACTGCAGAGCAGAGATGGCCAGGGCTTCGTCCCTCAGCAGGCTCTGCACTGCCAGATGCAGGAGTGTGGGTGGGTCCCGACCACTCATTCTTCAGATCTTCAATCTGAAGCAATCTGGTGAAATATAAAGGAGGCTATGTCTTAGGAAACCCCACTTCTCACCTGTCTTAGTTACTGTTCTATTGCTGTGATGAGACACCATGACCAAGGCACCTCATAAAAGCATTTAGTTGGGGCTTGACTACAATTTCAGAATGCTAATTCAAGACCATCATGGTAGGTAGGCATGGCACAAGAACAGTAGCTTACAACCCATCTGCAAACAAACTGCAAAAGGAGGGCCTGGCATGGGCTTTTGAAACCTTCAAAGTCCATCCCTAGTGACATACCTTCTCAAAAAGACCACATCTCCTAGTCCTTCCAAAACATTGCAGCAACTGGGAACCAAACATTAAAATATAGAAACAGCATATGACCACACCTTTGTAACTGTGCTATCTAAATCCAGCCACTGTTCCTCCAAATTCAATTCCCTCTGGGACAGGGTATCCAGAAACCTAAGATTTAAACCCCATCCTTTTATGGCAACAGGGACACTAATCACCTCTCAAGATGCTCATGGCAAAGCCAAGGAATTATTTCATGTTGGGAGCTATAGATCCCTGGCCCCTTGACTTTCTTCGCCTGCAGCTGCTATGAGCAGCTTGATAGCAGACTGGTGGGCCTGCAGCTGATAGATCCCAAGAGCTGGGCGTGGCTAAGGATTCCTATATAAGCTGTCCCTGAGCACAATAAAGTGGGACATTTGGCATTCTTCTATCGAGGGTAGCCCGTGTCCCTCCACCTGTCTCTCTCCGCGTGTCTCCGTGCTTGTACGTGTTTAAGTCTCGGCTGAGTCTGGTTTGCGTACTGGTCCTGTAGTGGCATGGGCACTACATGACCATTTTCGTTTCCGGGTTTTTATAATTTCATGCCTAACCTTCCCAGATTAGACTTGTTTTATTTCTTTATTATTTTGGATATTTGAGACAGGGTTTCTTTGTAGTTTTGGAGCCACCACTACCCAGCAACTTAACTGCTCTTGTACAGGACCCAGATTCAATTCCTAGGACCTGCATGATGGCTCACAACTACCTGTAACATAGCACCAGTTCCAGGGGATTCAACAGGCACACGTGTGGCACACATACATGCATGTAGGCATAAAGTAAAATAAATAAATCTAAAAAAAAAAATTTAAACCTGGGTGGCGGCAGCACGCATCTTTAATCCTAATATTCGGGAAGCAGAGACAGGTGGATCTATGTGAGTTCGAAGCCAGCCTGGTCTACAGCATAAGTTCCAGTAAAGTCAGGACTGTCCTAACAAAAAACCTTGTCTTGGGGGAAAAAAAAAAAAGGAGCAAGCCTGGCAATGGTGGCAAACACCTTTAATCCCACACTTGGGAGACAGAGGCAGGCAGATCTAAGCCTGGTCTACAAGAGCTAGTTCCAGGACAGGCTCCAAAGCTAGAGAAACCCTGTCTCGAAAAAAGAAAAAAAAAAGGAGTACTGGCTGCTCTTCCGGATGACCTGAGTTTGGTTCCCAGCATCCACATGTTGGCTCACAACCGCCTGTAACTTCAGCACCAGGGGCTCTGCCCTCTTCTAGCCTTCATGAGCACCAGGCAAAAACACCCATTCACAAATAAAATTTAAAAATAAGAACAAAATAATTTTTTAGGTACTGGGGACTCATCCTAGGGCCTGGCCCATGCTAGACAAGTGCTCAACAGTAAGCTACATTTCCAACATTTATTTTACTTCATGCAGAGACAAGGTCACTTTGTGTACCCCATGACAGCCTGGAACTGGGCTTTCTTTCCCCATTGTGTCCCTAGTGCTATGATTCCAGGAGTGCTAGCAGCCCACCTAGCTTTGTTTTCATTTGAAAGGCAGTCTTGTTAAATTGACCAGGCTGAACGAACCACATTCCTACAGCTTCAGTCCCCAGAAGGGATGAGATGTCTTGTGTTACCAAAGCTCATTCCCAGTACTGTTGTAAAGAAACTTCAAGGTGGGTGGTGGTAGTGCACACCTTTAATCCCAGCACTCGGGAGGCAGAGGCAGGCGGATCTCTGTGAGTTCGAGACCAGCCTGGTCTACAAGAGCTAGTTCCAGGACAGGGTCCAAAACCACAGAGAAACCCTGTCTCGAAAAACAAAGAAAAAGAAACTTCAAGTTATAAAGCCACACAACAACTTAATAAGTATAATTTAAGGGACTGCAAACTAATTAACCAAATATAGAGCCGGAAAGTCAGGAGTTCAAGACCAGTCTGGAATTAATGAGACTTTGAGACTCAAAAGTCTGTTTGTTTCGTTTTGTTTTGCTTTTTCAAGATGGGGTTCCTCTGTGTAGCTTTGGAGTTTGTCCTGGAACTCACTCTGTATGACCAGGTTAGGCTCAAGCTCACAGAGATCCACCTGCCTCTGGCTTCCAAGTGCTTGGGATTAAATGTGTGCATCACTAGAGTTTGGCAAGACTCAGTCTTAAACTTAACATAACCAAATAACAACAACAACAAAAATTCCATTCAATGGGCATTTCTCATTACAGCCTGGTCTACAGAGCAAGTTCCAGGATAGCTAAGGATACACAGAGAAACCTTGTCATGAAAAAAAATAAAATCCAAACACTAATGAGGTAGAATTAAGAAGATCAGCTACTTAAGGTCAGACAAGACTACATAAGACCATGTCTACAAAATAAAATAAAAGTTTTTGGTTTTTTGTTTGTTTGTTTTTCGAGACAGGGTTTCTCTGTGGCTTTGGAGCCTGTCCTGGAACTAGCTCTGTAGACCAGGCTGGTCTCGAACTCACAGAGATCCGCCTGCCTCTGCCTCCCGAGTGCTGGGATTAAAGGCGTGCGCCACCATGGCCCAGCTAAAATAAAAGTTTTAAGTCGCATATGATGGGACAGTCTAGTAACCTGTGTCCCAGTTCTAGGGAGGAATATCAAGAGCTCAAGGTCAATCAGACAGTGGTGGTTTTAGCTTTTAAGCCTTTAATCTCAGGACTCAGAGAGGCAGAGGCAGGAGTCCAGCCTGGTATGCTAAGCATTCAGGACAGTCGGAGATTTAACAGGGAAACCTTGGTGGGACAAACACACACACACACACACACACACACCATGAAAAGCAAACAAACAAATAAATACCAAACAACAAAGAAGAGCCCCAGTTATATAAGTGAGCTAAAGATCATCTTTGGCTACACAAGACTCTATTTCAAACAAAAATTGTGGGTTCCACTTCAATCTGTTCTGCATGTGACTATCTCTAAAATGAAAGGGAATTTAAAAATAAGCCTGCAACTCACCATGTAAACCAGGCCGGCCTCAAACTCCTCCTGCCTCTGCCTCCCGAGTGCTGAGATTAGCCAAGAGGTGGTGACGCATGCCTTTAATCCCAGCACTCGGGAGGCAGAGGCAGGCGGATCTCTGTGAGTTCGAGGCCAGCCTGGTCTACAAGAGCTAGTTCCAGGACAGGAACCAAAGCTACAGAGAAACCCTGTCTCGAAAAACTAAATAAATAAATAAATAAATAAATAAATAAATAGAGTGCTGAGATTAAAGGCGAGCGCCGCCACCGCCAGGCTGTTTACAATTCTAACAGGAGGATGAGGCAGTCTGAGGCCTTCCTAGAGACTGAGACCCTATGTGAATAACCAAAGAACATAAATTTTAAACGGATACAAGTGAAAGCATAATTCATATTCGATTAACTCACTATTCGAGTTTCAGCATGGGGAGGAGGAAGCAGAACTGCCAGGAGTTTAAACACACTGGCAAACACACAACAGTACGGAGGCTGAGGCGGGGGCTGAGGCAGGAACTGCGAGTGGGGGCTGGAAGTGGAATGTTTGATTGCTGGACCAACATGAGCTACATTCTAGGCAAGCCTGGGCAGCACAGGCTGCCGCCCCCGCCTCAAAAAAAATTAATAAAAATGAAACCAACAGATTAAGACATTTAATATGTTGGCAAACTTATTAGTAAGGGCAATTGACAACTTGAGTCAAATGGAGGTCACTAACTTACCAGAAACAAGCACTAATTACAGAACTCAGAACCCCAGAAGAGTCAGGCAGCCACTTTAAGCTTGCGCTCCAAGGCTGTGAGAATCTTTCCCGGCTCTTCTGAAGACTTTTCGGCCATCTTCACTTCACACTTCCGTCCTGAAGCTTTCGCATCCGGTGTTCCGCCTTACACTTCCGGGCTGAAGCTTCTCCTCACCCCTACCCCCACTCCACCCCCGCCCCTCCGTATTCCGTCTCATACTTCCGGTTTGTAGCCCCGCCTGCCAACCACAAGCTGTTACCCGATTGGATGACTGAGTCTCCGCCCTGTCTGGGTTTTTTCTGGCTCTGGATTTCGTTGCGAATGCTCTGTGAGCTGGAGAGAAAAAAAAAAAAAAAAGGGAAGGTTCGCGAAAGGACGCCCGCCTTTGATTCCAGCCCTCTTAGAGGCAGAGACAGGCCTATCTCTGTGTGTTCAATGCCAAGTTCTCTAGGGCTGCGAGGGAAAAACAAAGAACCTGAAAGCCGCGGGAAATGGTGACTGGTGCGCGCCTTTAATCTCAGCCCTCCGGTGGCCGATTCAGGCAGATCACTGTGAGTTCAAACCCAGTCTGCTCTACATAGAGACCGTCAATATAGCCAGATCACGATAGTGGAACATTGTCTACGAAACAAAAAACACCATTAAAAATTTTAAAAACACTGGGCGGTGGTGGTGCACGCTTGTAATCCTAGCACTAGGGAGGCAGAGGCAAGAGGATCACTGTGAGTTCGAGCAGCCTGGTCTACAAGAGCTAGTTCCAAAGCTACAGAGAAACCCTGTCTCGAAAAACCAAAAGAACAAAAAGACAAAAAACCTTGGATCTGTGAAAGTCAAAAACCCAATCTCTATCACTTATTTGATTGTTTGATTTATATTGTTTTACTTGTTTACTTATGCCCTTCATTTTGGATTTGTTCCTTAAATGAAAAAAAGTAAATATGAAAGGACGGTAGTGTTCCTAGGTATGATGGAGTTTGGTTAATGTATT